GGGTAATAACTTAGGAGTGCTTTGGTGGGTTTTTATTCGGATGAATAATATAGATGGCACGACCTTAATTTCCTCCGAGTGTCTTCTTTGTTTTTTTGCATTTGCAATGCGGGGAAGAAGATGGGGTCGGGAATACAACTATATCCTAAAATGATAGCCAATCATAGTTTAGCAAAGTAGGATTTTAACAATCGGTAGATTTACATTCTAGAAGGGTAAATACACGTTTTATGTGGAATGAAGCGGTGAGCATATCAACCATATATTTTTATGTTGCAAGTAGACTCGAAGCTTATAGGTGTTGATCTTTGGGATAGTTTTTCGTATGGGCACGAGGCCATAGTTGGAGATGCTTGGATAATGGGTTCGGCTAATATTTGCAACTTCCAACTACAATGGTGTGCCAATTTCCTTTTATTTTTCTTCTTGGTGTGTGTGTGTGGGGGGTTAATCGGGGTTGGTGTGCAATCACTACATTTGTTGCAATATATAACTAAGGAGCATCACCAATCCGGTATTCGGGTAATAACTTAGGAGTGCTTTGGTGGGTTTTTATTCGGATGAATAATATAGATGGCACGACCTTAATTTCCTCCGGTGTCTTCTTTGTTTTTTTGCATTTGCAATGCGGGGAAGAAGATGGGGTCGGGAATACAACTATATCCTAAAATGATAGCCAATCATAGTTTAGCAAAGTAGGATTTTAACAATCGGTAGATTTACATTCTAGAAGGGTAAATACACGTTTTATGTGGAATGAAGCGGTGAGCATATCAACCATATATTTTTATGTTGCAAGTAGACTCGAAGCTTATAGGTGTTGATCTTTGGGATAGTTTTTCGTATGGGCTCGAGGCCATAGTTGGAGATGCTTGGATAATGGGTTCGGCTAATATTTGCAACTTCCAACTACAATGGTGTGCCAATTTCCTTTTATTTTTCTTCTTGGTGTGTGTGTGTGGGGGGTTAATCGGGGTTGGTGTGCAATCACTACATTTGTTGCAATATATAACTAAGGAGCATCACCAATCCGGTATTCGGGTAATAACTTAGGAGTGCTTTGGTGGGTTTTTATTCGGATGAATAATATAGATGGCACGACCTTAATTTCCTCCGGTGTCTTCTTTGTTTTTCTTGCATTTGCAATGCGGGAAGAAGATGGGATCGGGAATACGGCTATATCCTAACATGATAGCCGATCATAGTTTAGCAAAATAGGATTTTAACAATCGGTAGATTTACATTTTAGAAGGGTAAATAGACGTTTTATGTGGAATGAAGCGGTTGAGTATATCAACCATATATTTTTATGTTGCAAGTAGA